TAATGTGAATGATAAATTTTTGATAATTTAAATCCTAAATCATTATTCATTGTTTTACCATATCTTTTATTTCGATAGAATCACCAACTTCGTCCACAACCAACCTACTACATCAATGGATAAATTGAACCGTGAAATGTTAGCCAAACTGAAATTGATATAAATTAAATCTTTACATTTATATAAAACAAATCAATATTTTTACCAATAAATGAAAAATTGTTGCGATATAAAATAAATCTATGCATTGGAATTTTTTCATCATCTCCAATAATAACCAAAGCCATACATATTAAGTATACAACATCTAATCGTATGCCATTACATAAACAAATAATCGTTAAGTATTCTAAATAAATACAGTGTAACTAATAATTACAAATATAAATTTAAACATAAGAATTTAAAAAATACCTGACATTGATGACCTAAAACTAACACAAAATTCGCTTGATGGGGTTTTGTATTGATACGAAATTTTATTTGTGTCGTATGATGTGTTAGATCTGCATGTAAAAAATATTTAGTAAATAAAACATAAACATATATCGTTGAGTATCCCAAATTAATACAATGTAAGTAATAATTAGAAATACTAATTTAAACATAGGATTTTAAAAATTAAGCTAAAAATTACCCGGCCATTGATGACCAAAAATTAACACAAAATTACTAACACAAAATTCGCTTGATGGGTTTTTTATTGATATGAAATTTTGTTCGTGTCGTATGATGTGTCAAATTATAATGGTAGGTATCACAAATTTTAATTTAATTATAATTAACGAACAGTTTGTATTTCTTATCATAAATACTATCAAAATCTATCTTGATAGGTATCAAACTTTATTATAAGTGTTTATCATTTAAATATTTTTTAGTTTTTTTTTTTTTTTTGGATTTCTTATACTTGTAGTATTGAATTAATAAATTTATCTTTTCCTATATTTTTACTTTATTTTTTTTCATTAAAATAATTTATTTCGTGGATTATATTCTACGTGGCATTAAAATTTTAGATACATCAAATCTAATTTGTTACTTTTATCTAGGTTGCGACATAATTTTTTAATTCAAAAATAAAATACAAATCTTTCTTCTTATTGGTCGAAATAAGTATATTTCTTTCTTGGCGCTCGGAATGCTCGCCTACTTTATTTATATAATATATATATATATATATATATATATATAATATATATATATATATATATATATATATTATATATATATATATATATATATATATATATATATATATATATATATTAGATTATTAAATGTATATATTTGTCTATATAGGAGTGAGCTATAAGTATGCATACATGATGTATTTGAGAATTATCTTATCTCTGGTAACTATATAAATATATTCTATAAGTATTATAATATAATAGTCTAGTATTTTATTTATTTATTTATTTTTTTGAATAGTATAATAATCTGTTATTAGAATAGTAGTATTATCCCAATTTTGAATTGAATCAGATTCGATCCATTGTCATCAATCCCTAGTTGCATGTGTGAATCTAGCAATATATCTTAAGTGTAAAGTGTCCGCTAATGAGGAAGCAAGCTGCGTGTGAGAAATGAGGAAGCTAAGGTAAAGTAGTCTTCACATACATTAGGAGCTGTAACTCTTAAGCAAAATAATACGAATTTATTGTGTGAATGCCCGAAAACTATAAGGTGAATTAAATACGAATGTATGTGAATCATAGTAACTAGATATCCTCGCATAAGGATTAGCTCGATTAAAATTAATTAAGACGCAATAAATTAATATATATCTTTTTGTAGACGGATTTTTTTTTAAAGTACGAGTATTTAATAAAATTAAACATAAAATATGCACCTATTTTTAATTTATAGTACTCATAGTTAACATCATTGAAAGTTAAAAATAATGAAATTTAAAAAAGAATAAGGGGGAAAGCATGCTAATCACTGGACCAATCATGCAAGTAAAGAGGGTCAGAGGAAAGATGATTTCCTTTTAAACAAAATTTCATTACATTTTATCGGTCCACAAAATCCAAGTCTTCATCTTCATCATTTCTCTCTGCCCTAGCTTTTGGTTTACGCTCAGGAACTTCTGAACCAAAAGAAATTATTTTAAATTTTGACTATTTCATTATGTTCTGTGTTTATATTATTATTTTTATTAGATCCATTAAAACGTCTTTTAATTAAATTGCGTGTCATTATAGTCCTGGTTTATACATTTTACTTATATAAAAGTTATTTCCATTTCAATTAACTTATACATTTCATCTAAATTTCCACTATTTTTACAATTAACTTTTAACCTATCAACTATTTCATCTAATTGGTAAATATGGTAACCTATCAACCATATATTGTTACAAGTGCTTTAACTGAGCACTTAGCTATTTATTTCAATGAGTGAGTGACACTAAAAAAGTCACACCTATACCTTTATTTTCTCTATGGGATGAGATCCCATAATCTTTTTCCTCATATTATTCGGATCATTCCTTACCATCCATCTTTGTAACTTGAAAGACACGTTAACTTTGATGGCTCAGTTTGCAACAACTTAACAGCAACAGGAGTGATCATCACATTCATTAGAGACATCAGTAGAGCCTTCATCAAGGCATATACGTTCAACATCGACAATACAAAGACATTCATAGCATAAAGTATAGCGCTTCATGAGGGAGTCCAACTAGCCTTTCATCATCAAGACATTCGTAAAATTCAAATTAAAGGTGATAATTTACTAGTAATCATTCAATAAAAGACATTTGGACAATCCCTTGGCAAATCGAGCATATCATTATAGACATCAATAATAACATACATTCGCTCCTCAACCAATTTCACATTACTAAGAAAATAAAAATATTTTCTAATTTACTACGAAATAGTAGTTATATCTATAATATTAACAATATGTTAGAAGTTCTAATGAATATACAGATACTATTTAGTAACAACACTAATTTAAGTATTTTATGGCTTAACGACTTAAAAGATTTGTGTTATTTTAGTAACAACACTACTTTGTGTTTCTTTTGACATTTGGGTTTCACTAATGTTTTTCTATTGCACATGCTTTATATACCAATATACCATCCATCTAAATAAAAGTGTTTTAAGTCAATACGACAATACAAATAGGTGAGGATTGCCACACTAATTTTTGGTTATTTTATTTCGATGATTTTAAATTTGTGTCTATTTTCATATTAAGCTAACTTTTCACTACTTTATTAAAAATAATATAAGAGGGAGAAGGTTGTGGACATTAATAAAGAGGAGGTGGGGGTGGGGGTGGGGGTGCGAGGGGGATTGGAGAAGGTAGTTATCAACCTTTTTTTCTTTTCTTTTTATTTTTTTATTAAATGTTGAAAGCAAAATGTCATTGAGTTTTCGCTTATCGGCAATTTTGCTCCGTAACAATCACCTATTAATTAAGAAGTTATAAAAATCAAAGTCGAAAAAATATTTAAAAGTTTAGACATAAGATCAAATCTCATCTGTATAATATATTTTTATAGCTCTTTTAAAATCTACTCATACAAAAGTAAATAAATAAATCATGCTGCAATATTAGAGGTATGAATTCTTTTTAATTATTTATTTAAGTTGCAGTTCTATCAAACACTACAAATGTGCTTTTCTATCATTTTAGGGCCATGTGGGCCATTGGTGTGGACTGAGGTTGAAAAAGAAATGAAATCCGCCTCTCCACCGGTAGGAATGTGTCTCCATACTTTTAGTTTTTTATTTACCAATGTGCTCCTATAAATTTTATTATTGTCTTAATCTAAATTATTTATTTAATTTCTTACTCCATTTATTTCTTAATAATTATTGAGCTATAACATTAAGTTTTATATATTAAAAAATGAATTTGGTTGTACTTTTCTTCTTTTGGATATACAGGAAATGACTTTTAAATTTTTTTATGTTTGTGTTATACATGGCTATATTTTTTTACAAATATATTAACAGTAAATTTAAATGAAAAGTAATGACGGATAAATTAATATCAAATGAAAAAACTGTACTCCGTAACATCTAATTATAATTTTTACTAATATACCAAAGTACTACAAATATTAATATAATGGTCGAAGTTGATTGATGTTGTTTATAGTACAGTAATTAAGAATCTCTTGAGTTATTTCTGTTAAAACAAAAAACTAATAGCTAAATTAGATTTCACTATGTATGTATACTCAATTACTCACTACTTTGCAACAATATAGAAGTGATAACAACTCAGTACACCATGACCACTTTTCACACAAAGATGATGAAGTCACATTGTGTGAATAATATGATGATCAATGTCCCATGTAATTTTAGCATAGTGCCCTTTTTTGGCATAGTGGTCACAGTAAGTTTTCCATTCTCAATTGTGTACTTACTGTACTTATCATTGCATCTCCTGATTAATAAATATACTCCATAACACAAATATAGAGCTAGTACACAACTCGACCAATCGATCAATTAATTTATACGACCTAAAAAAAAATGATCATTGCCCGTATATATCTATATTTTTCACAATGCAATAACTATCTACTTTTAAGATGGTTTAGCAATATTATATGTATCGAAGGGTGATTTGTAATGCTATAGAGATAGATGACACAACATATTGTTAGGGTGATCGACTTTTCATTTATAAAAGATTTATCAAATAATTATATAGTTCAAGGGTAACTTGCTACATATCGCACCTACTCCATATAAATTAACCGTGATCAATCATACCAATGACCAACAATAACACATCCAATCATTGACCCTCATTCAATGCATATACATATAATGGTATGAATGTCTCTAGTTACTTAATTCGAAGGTACAAGTACAAGCAAGCTAGGTTATTCAATAGAAGTAGCAGTAAAATTTACACACACACAAATGAGACAATAATAATTATTATTACTATTAACAAGCAAAGACAAATTAACTTGATAGTAGTAATAGTAAGAAAGAAAGAGAACAAAGGATAGGACAGAAAGTGCAACTTCAGAGGAGTGTGACTGCCCCAGTTTTTAGCTTTGGAAGTGTACATTACATAATTTAATTTAAATTACTAAATGATTTTTTTTTTTTTTTTTTTTTTTTTTTTTTGAGTGGTGGACTTTACAAGGGGGAGGAATCACCCTTACCTTCTCATCCACATCTCTTTCTCTCTCTACTTTCTCTCTCCTCTCTCCCCTTCTCTCTCTGTCTGTGGTTGCTGTTTTGTCTATCTTTATAAGCATCATCCAAGGTCAGTTTTATTTATTTATTTTTCCCTAATAATAATATCCTCTTTTTGGTTTCTTCTTCTTTGTTTTTAGCATCTTAGCAAGTATCAAAGAATTTTTCTATTTTAATAAACCTCATATCATTTAATTTTATTTGATTTCTACCTCCTTTTAAGATATATTCTTATTCATCAAAATTATTAATATACCTTAATATTAAATCAGATTTTATTTGATATTTATTTTTGTTATTAGGGTTTGTTTGTTGTTTTTTTTAGATCTCAACTCATCAAATAATTAAACATCTTGATCAAAATTATTGTTTTCTTACCATAATTATTTTTTTAATTGTTATAGATAGAATCACTATGCTTCATTAAGCAAGGTATAGTACAAGTACAAGTTTATTTATTTATCAAAGAATTTTGAAGATGATGAAAGGGTTGGGTTTAGATGAGAGCATGTCCAATTTGACTTCTACTATATCTGGTGAAACAAGCATTTCCTCAAATGCTAGGAATGATCAATCTTCCTCTACCACCACCACCAACGCCAACAACGCCACCAACACGAACACAAACACGAACACGATGCTATACACTCAAGCATCTTCCTCATCATTCGCCTCGCCTCATCAAGTTCAACCTCCTCCTCCTAAGAAGAAACGAGGCCTCCCCGGTAACCCAGGTTGGTATAATAATATCCTCGTAACATATCTATATCTGTATCTATATATATATCTGCAGTATCTAATACTGATAGAGTATAAAACCAGTCATGTGACTTCAACCATCAGCTTAAACCTTTGGTTAAGTAAGTTTCGCCGTTACATATATGTAACATTGATATAGTTATTATTATGACAACTCGATTTTAATGTCTATTATCAGACCCGGATGCGGAGGTGATAGCACTATCACCAAAGAGTTTACTAGCAACAAACAGGTTTATCTGCGAGATCTGTAACAAAGGATTTCAAAGAGATCAAAATCTTCAGCTTCATCGTCGAGGTCACAACCTACCTTGGAAGCTTAAACAAAGAGCGAAAGATCAGATAATACGAAAAAAGGTGTATGTGTGTCCCGAGCCTAGCTGTGTTCATCACGAGCCGTCGCGAGCGCTCGGCGACTTAACCGGAATTAAGAAGCATTTCTGTAGGAAGCATGGTGAGAAGAAGTGGAAATGTGAGAAGTGTTCGAAGAAATATGCAGTTCAATCTGATTGGAAGGCTCATTCCAAGATTTGTGGTACTAGAGAGTATAGATGTGATTGTGGTACCCTTTTCTCTAGGTAAGTTTATTACATATGTAACACATTATATTCATGTTCATATTTTGTTATTAATAGTATGGTGGTATATAGTATGAGCTTAATCTTATTTGGGAAATAATCACAATCCAATGATGATAACGTGTTGAGGTTTAATTTTTACTTTTTGTTCCAAGTCTTAGTTTCTAGTTTACATGCATGTATCCTTGACTATATGTATTGGTTCAAATGTGTCTAATTATTATGTTGTAAGTCATCACTAAACGTAATTGCACTTGTTGATCGAACACTCAATCTAGGATTTTTATTAGGAGAGGGGTTGAGGCGAAATTTAATAATTAAAAGGAGTTTCAAACGAAATCATCCTTTTTACAGTATCATCAGGATAATAAATACACTAGTAATAAGCTAACTGCTTTTGAAATCATATGCAAATTAGTCACCTTAAATTACTCAATGTAATGCAAGATGACTTGTATGATTGCATGTGAATTTCCCAAAATGGAATTATTATAAGCTAGATTTGTAATATAATCAAACTCTTTTCTCACATAGACTATCTTTTATACTAAGACTTTTAAACCCAACCATGGGAATCCCACTTTTAATTTTTATAATTATGTTTCACTCATTATTACAATTTGAATAACAAACATACATGATGCATAAAAATGTATTGGGATTACCAATTTGTATTCTTTTCTTGTAAAAATAAACAACTTTATTCTTTAAAACCTTGGGATGTCTTTTCATGAGTCAAGCCAATAATTATAATGTGCCCGTGAATGTGTGTGTAATGTGTATGTATTCATATGTGTGTGAAAGAAAAGAAGGGAAAAGCATACATGTGGGGTTATGCAATGAAAAAAACTGGTTGAAATTTTTCTAGCTGTTTGTTTCCAACTTACCTCCATCTTAGTTGTACTATTGCTAAATTTCATTCAGAGTTCATGTGTTTTTTTTGTCAAACAACAAAGATGGTTAGTACTCAGAAAAAGAGGAGAAAAGCCTTGCATTTCGGTGTTATTATTATTTTTTTTAACGGAGTGTGAGAATTGCGAAATAATCATTAATGACATGCAACGAACTAGTAATGCTACTATTTTAGCCTATTGCATTGTGGTGTAACGAAAATACTTTTGATGGTATGAGTAGTGTATTTTGTAATTTTTTAAATATATGGTCGATGTTGTTGTGGTGTGTGCAGGAGGGACAGTTTTATAACACACAGAGCATTTTGTGATGCATTAGCAGAAGAGAGTGCAAGAGCCATTAACCCTCTTAGTACACTTCCATCATCAGTATCACACCAAAGTGGTGGACTTGCAGGAATTACCGCTAATAATTCTTCATCTCACTTTTCTCTTCCACCTCACTTGACTTCTCATCATCAACTCCTTCAGTCTCTTCCTCTCAAGAGAGAACAACCTGATCACCACCAACACCAATTCGGCCAACACTCGAATATGATCAATGTTAGGTCGGATATCCCACCGTGGTTAGCTTGTCCTCCTCCTCCGCAACAACAGAATGTTGTTGATGGTGGAGGTGGACAACTCGATCATCACCCGCATTCGTCTCATTTGTACTCCTTCCAACACCACCACCAGCAACAACAACAGCAACAGCAACAACAACAGCATCAGCAGCAGCAGCAGCAGCAGCAACAACAACAACAACAACAGTATGAACAACAAAGTTCAAGTAATAATGCAATGGGGTCTACATTGTCATCTTTTCAAGCCCCGGCCAATCCCCAAATGTCCGCCACCGCCCTCTTACAGAAGGCGGCGGAGATGGGGGTGACCGTAAGTAATCAACAACACCGACAGCAACAGCAACAACACGGCGGCCATCAAGTAGTACTAACAAATAGTACTAGCTGTGGACTAACCGTTAACCCAGGGTTCATGGAACAAAATCAAGGTATGACAACACCCGAGGGGGACGGAGTCGGTGGAGGACAATCCTCCATGCTGCATGATGTAATGATGTTAAGCTCATTTCAATCTTCAGCATCATCAGTAAGTGGCGGATTTGACTCGTCGAGTTTTGGTGACTTTCATCACCAAGCTATGACCGCGACAAAGTCACAACTTAACGGTGGCGGTGGTGGTGGAGGAGGAGGAGGCAATGGTGGCGGTAATGGCGGCAACGACGGGTTGACAAGAGATTTCCTAGGGTTGAGAACATTTACACATAAAGACTTCCTAAACATGGCAGGGTTAGGACATATGAGCCCATCATCAGCCTCTTTTGAACAACAACATGAGCAACATCAGAATAATAATCAACAAACACCTTGGTAAGGGCATGTTATGGGTAAATGAGTTAAAATTACATTTTGTTTTGTTTTTGTATTTAAAATTTTTGTAATGCATGTTTATAGAAATTAGTGAACAATATTTCTCATGTTACAAACTTTGTAATTTGTCACCATGTTTAAGACAAAATAAACTTTTTGAGTAAATTTTTTTCAAAATTTTTATTTTTTATTTTTTGATGGGTATTGGTAGAGTTTATAATGGAATCTTGAACATGAGGGCAACTGATGATAATGCCAATTCATTTCTTCAGTCAGACACCTTTTTTTCCTCACTCCCGAGAAGTATAGTGTAGCACTGTATGCTTTAGTTTTTTTTTTTTTTTTTTTTTTTTTTTGAAACAACTGTATGCTTTAGTTTTGATTCCCCTTTTATCAAAATTTTTAACACAAAAATAGTTTTTGAAAATAATAAAAAGTCTTAATTTTTAATGGCCTGGAATATAATTCAAAGTAATATAGCTAGGTCCAGTTGAAATTAATTGTCATTCATGTTGATGTTAATATAATGAATGACATGCACTGTAGTTCACTAACAAATGCAAGTCACTTATTAGCTTATTATTGAGATATTGCATTCAATCAATAGTGCATTATCACCATATAATTGGGATATGTAAAAAAATACGGTCTATATATAATACAATTAGTACGGTTATCATACAATTATATTGCCCTAAAGTAAATTAAGATCAATGATATATTGTCCTAAAAATTCTATTATTAAAAACTAATCTAAACAAATGTATGATTCGATTAACCTTCATGGTTAACCATATAGTCATATAAAGACAATCTAGTGAAATTCATAGAAATCTTGCTTTTACAAGATAATGCTACACTATAGTGCGTAGCTTACTAGTTAACTATTTTCCATAATATATACTATTCCCATCGTCTTTATAAGTTCTTATTATTTTGATTTATATGTAAGATATTTGCTATTAAAACTGGCAAACTTTTAGAGACGAAAGAAGCACTTCATGTTTTCAATTAATCCGCATGGTATAACAAATTTTGTTGCTTTTGAATATTAATACAACAATATTACTTGTGTTTATAATTCCAATGCACATAAATACATTATTATTAGTCACTTTAAATAAAATACTACATCGTTTTTGAAAATTCAACTCACTTACTATTCATCTGGTCAAAATAAAATAACTTTGACCACATATTATGATTTATACAATAGAAATAAATTAGTATGAGGGATTTTATTAGATTCCCCTTATTATAAATTTTTCAAATATTAACTTTTTATGATTTTCACTTATGCATAGCCGAAGATATTCATGGTCAAAGATGTTCATTGGAGACCACGCAAATGCAAAGTGAGTCGAATTTTTAGGAACGGAGGGAGTACTAAGTTTACTAACCCTCCATCTCTATCTATATAAGTTCTTTAAGTGGAGTTTTTTGGAGCAAAATTTTCCTCCAATACCATTTTTAATTAATTTTTAGTTTATCTTGAAAATAATAAATCTATTACTCCGTATATAATTTTCCAAAAGCATTTATGATAACTCTATATCTTATGAATTAAGGTAGTTATTTTCTCTAAACTTTCTAATAATTGAATATACCAAATTTATTTATATTAATTGTATTGCTCCTCATTATACAATTTTTTTGTTAAAAGAAGTACATGCATTTTCTAATTTAAGCTTGATTTTTAAAAATAGCAATTGATGATGACTAATTCCTACTTACTAAATTGCAATTTATTTAACTATATATTTATTTAAAAATATAAGGATAGCTCGTACATAAATTAGTACAAAGTATTTATTAATATACTCATTAACAAAGACCTAAAATAGTAATGTAGCTAGTTTTTTGCCCTAAAATTTTACATTTATAGCACGATATGGTGATCATGAAAAGCACAGAGTTGTTTGGCAAATGGTTTTTTTTTGCCAACTTTTGATCGACTTTGACCTATATCAAATAGGCAAAAAAAAATATGATTGCCAGTAACGTATCCTATTTGTTGGCTAAAAAGTTAGGCATGAAGCCAAAACAATGCAAAAGTTGGTTAGATAAGTTTTTTAACCTGTGATTGTTGCTTTTGATAAAATAATATTTTGATTTATCAATATATAGTACGTAATTATTAGTATACTAAAGACTACTCCGTGTACATCCAATCAATACACATTTTATTTCACTAGATATGCATCTTTATATAATATATAATGGTAACAAGCGTTCATCCTCTTCACTGTAATGAAAAGTTGTAGGTCAAATAAGTTTCAATGTTATAGTTTACTCTTGCAAGCTTATTCTCTTATAATAAAAAAAGTCTAGCTAATATGTTCTCATTATCGTATGATGAGTCCTAATAAGTTTAGTCCACACGAGTTTAGAAGATTTCAAGTACTAGTGAAGAGTGAGAACACACCCTTATTACTTTGTATTTCTAATATGGAACCATCCCAACATTGACCCCTTAATTACATTCCAACACATTTAATTAGTTTGTAACTAAAACCATTTTATTAAAAGGTAATAATATATGAAGTAAATAATTATTAGGTTTTGTTGTACATATAAATAGTGTTATACATAAGTTAATTTAATAATGATTTTCCCTCAAAAAATAATAATAATAATAATAATTTAAAAATGCATAACAAAATTATGTGTCGATTTATATATTTAATTAATTTAACTTACTATTTTTCCTTTGGAATTCTAGTGCTGTAGTACATGTATGATACTCCTACATACAAAAATCCACCAAACATTTTATTTTTGAAAAAGAAAATAGTTTTTTTTTTTTGGTATGTAGCTATATGGTGGGCCTTCCTACATACTAAAATCCTACTCAAGTTATCTCATAAGGTCAGTACAAGTTATATACATGTGTCGTGAGAAGAGGAAGTTAAAAGATAATTGAACTCGTGTCCTATACAGATAATGTGATCAGTGTAAAAACTAATCGAATATATTATACACCAATAAAGTGTTGGCTCACTTGATAAGACTCTTACCTCAAATCCTAGAAGTATGGGGTTCGAATCCTACCAAGTGAGGGTACTAGGGGATAGGATTTCCCTAACCATCCCCTCTATTCCCAAGTGCTTGGCCTGTAAATACTGAATAAAAAAAAAATCGTAAAGATTGAGGTTTGGTCAGGATACTCCACAAAGATAGTATATATAAAAATCTTAAGTGAAGTAACTACTATTCATTTTGAAAACTAATTAAAGAAATTTCATAGAATAGTTACTAGCCAATGTCGATGATGAGCAAAGTAGTAGATGTGAAATGATAGAAAATTAATGTCATCTAGGGATCAACAAAAGAATTAAAATCATAATTGCAAAAAGAGTAAACAAGGCTAACAGCCATTACAATTTACAAGTACTACAACTAGCTGTTTCCTACTATACAAAGGTCAAGTTGTCATTATGCAATTGGCAATGGCAAGCTGTCACCTCACTAGATTGCATTCACTTCAACAAGTAGTAAAGTAGTACTCTAATAATAAAAGTAGTACAAAAAATAAACATATTCATCTATTTGAAGTTTGGGGTTATTGTAGATTTGCATTATTTACTTTAACATGGAATAGACTACATAGTCATAGATTTGATCAAGTGTGGATATTGACCTATATGGCTATCTGTTGTAGATTCTTTCTTTGGAACCGCCCTTCTATAGTCCTACACTCCTATACATTATCGTGTCTCTTTTGTTTGGATTCTTGCATTGTGTCGCCTCCGAGATGTTTAGGAGGTGACTAATAGTTCGTTTTAATAATCAAGTTTAGTTCAGAACATATTTAGCAGGTGAATTATTTGTACTTTTTATACGCTTTAAGAAAAATATAAAAAATTGCAACACTTTGATTAAAAAAGTGAGAGTTTTTTGGTTAAATTGTTGCAATTGTTATGAAACAGGAGATTTAATTTTTGAAATAGATATCTTAATATAGAAAGAAGTCTAAATTGCTATCTTTAAACCAGTCCACCAGTCTAAGTTTAGACTAGTTTGATTAGTCTAAGTTAGTTTTGATTTATTTATTTTTGATAGATGTCCGAGACTTAAATTTTTAAAACTCCAGTGTTTTGTTTGCTCTTATCTGATGTGTTTAAACATCCCTATTTGCCTTTTTTTTTTTTTTTTTTTGTGTTTAAACAACTGTACAATCGGATTATAAGAATCAATTGCAAATCTCTTAAAATCGAAAAGAAAGTTCTAATCATTTGAACTATCTCTCACTCTAATGCATATTAGCTAGACGTAACTAAAGCCGACTACATGACAAATTCGATAAATTAATATGCCACCTAATGCATATTAGATGTAACTACAATTTTTTTCAAATGTAAACTAAAAGTTTTGTTTATAAGCAAGAGACATTATACAAAGGACGACATCTTCAACAGTAAGATTTGGTCGCAAGTTAAGATGTGACGTAGTGGTAAATAGAGATAATTATACTTTGTCTAATCCAAATGGGTCAAGGAGGTCGGACTAATTTTGGGGTTGTAGGGATTACATTTATACTTCTTTTTTTTCTTTCAAAAACAGCCTCATCACTATTGTGGACCTCATCTCTATAGTGTACTTCAAATGAAGGAAGAATATATTATTCAACTAGGAGATGATCGAGGCTATACGCTTATACAAGGACTCTCTAATCTTAAAAGTCTTTCTTTTTACTCAATTTTTTTAATGGAAAAGAAATATTCGTGAATAATAACCCATACGTCATGATTATCAAGATTTGTAAAATATAGTTTAAAGATTTAATACGACTTTCATAATTAAAACAATTAATTTGTATATATATAGGTTAAAATTTTTACTTCAACTCCCCCGACCTTCACCCTTAAAAGTTAAATAAAATCTTTAGTCTCCTGAATAATTTCAGATTTCGTCTAAATTTATACAAGTATACAATAATAAGATCATTGCAACTAATGTATTATTCAATTTTTTGTACGATCCACTAGAAGAAGGTCCAATTTTCTACGTACTTGTATTATGGAGTACTAGTAATAGGTAAGAAAAAAGCAGAAGAATCTTCAAAGTAAGAATTAGGGTTAAGAGTTAAGTCCATGACAAATTTACAATACAATCATGATATTATTGTCATATGATATAAATAATTAATAAAGTAAAGAAAATAACATGAGAGTTATGGCCTACATTAAAAAAGACATTCAGAAACACATATCATACTGTTTTTGAAGAATCGTTTTTAGCAATAAATGCAAGAGTAACATGTTGTTGCATGCCCTTTTTCCTCTGTGTGCGTGTAACATAGTGCTCTCATAAGTTGAGAACTTAACACATTTTCTGAATTTCTATGTAATAGCTGGATCATGCTATAAAAATTGCTAAATCTTATAAAACCTCCTTTTCTTTTAGTTTGTACTATGAATAACAGCAATGGTAAGGGTGAAAGTTATTCGGATTAAGGGGGGGAATACGGTTAGGAACTTTTTGGAACAAAAAGAATTGTTTAACTATTTCAAAATTCTCTTTGAAGTGTTTGGTTAGGAGCTGTTTGAAAAAGTTTTTTGGTCTATAAAGCTCATATGAGGTTGAAAGAGCTTTTAGCTTTTTTCTTGTTTTATACACTACAATAACTCATAACTAACATGTATTTACCAAACACTTTTACACAAATAATTAATTACAACCAACTAGTCAAAATAGTTAATACAAATTAAACAGCTAATTGTCAAACAAAACCTAAATTTAAAATGCAATTAATTTAAATTGAATTGTAATTTAGGTTGCATTATATATATTTATGTAATATCCAAATTTTTGAATCAAATCGAATTGAACAAATTGAAATTATGTAAATAAATAATTCATTTTAACTCTTTAAGAGTAGGGTGATAAACTGATAATATGTTGGAGTTATAATTTAGACTTAAATTTAATCACGCACATTAGACGTCTATGTTGTCAAATAAAGTCAAGCGTAGATCCCCCCCCTCTCTTTTGTAAAAAAAAAAAAAAAAAAAAAAAAAAAAAAAAAAAAAATTAGTACTAGATTTCCTTAGTTTAGAAAATTTATAAATTAGAACTTAAGTCTATTTAGTAATTTTTTTTTTTATTTTTTTATATATTTTTTTTAAGAAGTCTATTTAGTAATTAGAACGTACTCATGTTAGATGTTTGGCTCCTCTTTCAGTTGTTTTCTTAGTAGCACGCACTGCCAAAAAGTATTGTGTTGAGTTATAAGTATACTATTAATTATGTTAGATTAGATGTTTAAAATAATTCTATGATTTGAAGTAAAGTTGCTTATTAATATCTTAATAGTGCGCTCAATATTCTATGAGTGGCTTAAAAAAGTCCTTATCCTTAATAGCCATAGATGATTAGAGGAATAGCAAAATCGGATTATTAGAGATATGTACATTGTTTTGCATCCACACAACCATAGAATTATGATAATTTTATTGATTGTGTTTTGAGGTACCTAACTCCCTTTTGAAAAGTCAATATGCACTTAGTTCAATTTTCTTAGCCTTAAAAAAATTCACATTTTCAAAAATTGTCTCATATTTTAAATTAACTTTTACGGTTGTTGATTTCAAACTTTAAACATTAATAAACCTAAAGATTTGTAAGTATAAATAATTAGAAAATTAATATTTAAAATTTGTACGTTAAGATAAATCTGTTAGTAATTTACATAATGAAACTTATTTATATATATTAGTTGAAAATAAGACACGTAAATATTACAAAATTTTATAAAAATAAATAAATAATTTTGAATTACATATATTTTTCCATTAATCAAAAACTTTTGTCATATCAAGTGATTTTTGATTTATTTATTTTATAAAAAATAAGGTTAAACTAGAAAGACAACCCTATTGAATAAAATTTCTCATAGGTCAACTTTGGTCAAGCTTTGGATTGGAGGTCACGGCAGTAAACGAGAGGGGGTGAATGGATGATCTAACCAAATAGATCGAGTTATGGACAAAATTAGAACATGTGACCTTTCACCTTTGTCGACTTATATAATGTGAAAGTTCTAACTTCTAAGAGCAAATAGGTAAATAATGATAAAAAGAGATGCAAAGTAGGAGTATAGACTACATTTATAATTTTCTTAACATTTTACTTTTAAAACGGAAGTTTTGGTTGTATGTTCTCACGTTTCTCACTGATATATAAGAGTTTTAATATTTTTTTTTTTCGTTCACTAATAATTTCACCAATTCACTTATTCATTTGAAAATTAAACTTTTAAAATTTAAAATTTACTCATTAATATATAAGAATATAAATAATTAAGTGACATCTTGTTATTAGGTTAGTCTTTATATATATTTTATCAAAATATTAACTTTTTATAATTTTTAAAGTTATTCAATTAGAAATAATATCCATGAAGATCATGATATAAGAACTGAAGCAATCATTGGCGAACGGAGGAAGTAAAAAATGGTGGGAGTAAAATTTTAAAAAAGGAGGCCAAGATTGCGGTATTTGTGGCTAGTGAGCACACACATTAGTTGATGTCCAAATTTAGAAGACAGCCCAAACCCGAAAACCACATACTTGTAGTAGTTTAAAATGAAATGGCCTATACAAGCAGCCCGGCCCTATTTACCACACCCAACCCCATTTAGAGTTTTGGACCAACCTGTTTGACTAGCTTTATATGTAGATTAAATATTGAAAACAAATCGTTCTTCTGTTTCATTTGATTGGTTGCATTTCACTTTTTAATCAAAGCCCAATCAAATCATTCATTGAAATGCAAGAAATAGACCTGAAAAACGTGGAATGTGTAAAGGGTCTCAATGCTTCAAGAATAAAATTGTACTTGCTCTGTTTTAAATTAGATAACACATTTGACTTTTAACACTATTTATAAACTTTATTTTGTTTGTGATTTATAACTATCAAAAAAAAAAAAAAGGTGGAATATGTAAAGGGTCTCAATTTTGAAGGCCCGCTATTTCAAAAATGCATTTGTAATAGAGGCTTTTAGGGGGCATGATCCTAGTTATTCATGTGGGGTGCTAAGTCTCTGCTGCTTGAGCCTTGAGGGGTTGAAATGGTGAATTGGGAATGGCGCGAACAATAAAGTTTGGAGTACGGGCTGGATTCCAGGAAGGGTCTTACCTCCAACCCCAAAACTGGGTACTACTGCAAACCCGGACATGCTGGTTGCTGATCTCATCGACAACTACTGCAGAGAGTGGAATACCAGCAGCTTGGTGAGCTATTTGAGGTGGAAGATTGCAGAGCTATTACACAAATTCCATTGCCTATGTATGAACAACATGACTCGAATGGAGAATACTCGGTCAAGTCAGGGTATTGGCCTGGCTTACTTGGACGCATAAATGCAAGTAATGGTGAAAATAGTGAATTATTAGTAGAAACAAATTTGTACATGAACAAGTGACTACGGATCCTTTTATATCTGCTCATGGTTTTGTCCAATTGGTTGAAGACTACCGCAAATATAATGCGAAGGTGTGCAACGTCTCTTACCCCAATCCCAATGTTTCTGCTGCTAGTTGGGCTACTCCACCAGAGTGAGTAATTAAGCTCAATGTGGATGCACATTTTGTTGGCCGTGAGTACGTAGGCTTGGGTATTGTGGCTAGAGAAAAATATGGGGGAGGTCATGCTTGCTGCTGTGAAGGGTTTGAAGGTGGGATTGACTGCAGAAATGGCGGAGGTAGCTGCTGCTAGATATGGCTTGGCTTTGATGGAACGCTATGGGTATAGGAATGTATGGTGGAGTGTGATGCATTGGCTGTGGTGAAGAATATAGCACAAAACGTCTCTGGTCGGTCTCCAAGTTATGTGATCTATGATGATATTAGGAAGTTGTCTAATCACTTTTCTTTTATTATGTTTTAGAGCCGGTAATGCTGTGGCTCACTTAATTGCTAGGTGGGACACTCTTGGTTGTTCCGAGCGTATCTGTACAGACTCGTTTCCCCAAAGTCTCTTAACTTTGGTGGAACTTGATTTGCATTAATATTATCGGCTCTTACTTTTCCTAAAAAAAAAAAGAAAAAAAAAAAGAAAAAGAAGCTACATATGTAAAAATATACAAAGTATGAAATTTGAGTAAAATATTGTGGATCACAAATGTAATATAAAAATTAAATTAAATAAAGATAAAAAGGGGAGAACATTATAATTCTTTTGGTGCAATAAAATCCAACGAATATTATAACGAGAGATGTATTATTTGTGTGTTTATTTTAGTCTAATCCAAAAAGTGCATTTATAATGACATAATGAAAGGAAGGCATGAAATATGGATATAGAATTCAAAATGAGTTGAGAATTCATTTGATCTATTCTGATATGGTCTATTGTGATTTTCATATTTAACTAAATATTTAGGAACCCTCAAGATAAAAATAATAGATTAATTTGTCATTAGATTAACGTATCAATTTCATAAGTAGGCGAGGATTTCAACTTCACACCATATGACCATATCCTTTATTTTATTTTTTCTTCTACTTTTTTTTTTTATTTTTTTTTCTAACTAAACAAATAATAAAATATATAATTCATTTATAACTTATAAATCAATACATGTCGTTTAGAATCATTTTAAAAAACAAAACAAAAATCATGCACATATTACACAGTCTCGATTAAATAACAACTTAACGTGACCATGTGGTATGCACTTATGTCCATTTTGACCAAATCACAAAAACGAATCAAATTGTTTGAGCACTAACAAAGTGACAATGTTACTCACTCGTAACTTGGTAAGTACTCGAACAAATGTACAAATTGGAGATTAGGACAGTTAATCACTCTCAAACTACACTTATAGCGTGGGCGAATATGGATCACCGACCCATTTGATTCATACCCGTTAGATATTTTACTCTCTTGCTCTGTTCATTCCAAAAAATTAAAAATTAACAAAAATTCAAACTACTTGTCTCACAAATTTCTTCATCTCAACCAAACGCTACATTTTACTCGTACATACATAAAGCTTTCTCTCTCTCTCTCCTCTCTTTCCCCTATTTTTCGCGATTGCTGGGCACCCAAATTATTAATTTTTTTTTTATTGTAACAGATTCAAGATTCAATTTTAATTGAGGGTTTGCAAAAATTGGGGGAAAATTTATTGGACAAGAGGGAAGATCATTTCTTTAGCTCTCTTTAGGAGAGAGAGCTAAATTAAAAGAGGGAATAGGGGTTTAATGGCTTGGAGGCAACTTATTAGGCAGGTTTGTGATTGAATCTTTCTATTTTATTGATACCCTTCTATTGATTTTCTTTGAAGTCTGGTAATTTATTGGTTTTGTTGATCTTGGAACCCTAATTTTTTTGTTTTTAGTTGATTTGGGGAATTTAAGGATTTGGATTTGTTGAATTAATTTGTGGGTATTGATTATTTTGCCCTTTTTTTGTGTGGGTTTGGTTGAATTATGTTTAATTGGGTAGATAGAGTTGAAAGTTGGGGGTTTTGAGCTTAGGGTTTTCGTAAAGATGGATTCTTGCAGAATATTTTAGCCGGTTAGTTTGGATTTTCAGTGAAATTAGTTGTTCTTAGTTGGTAGCTTATCCATTTGATGATGGTAATGAAGGTTTGAAGTAGTTGAAATTAGAACTGTCACATGAAATGGCTACAGAAATGAGTTTGAATCTTTAGATTTTGATGAAGATTGTACCTTTCTTTTGTGTCGATTGTCTTCCTCTATATGTAGATCACCTTAACTTGGAAGGTATTTTGATTTGGGAGAAGGGTGTTGATTGAATGTTATGCAATTGGAAATTTACGATTCTGTTTATTGTTTTTGGCAGGCGGCAACACGGGAATACGAGCTTGTACGATTGAGGACTATTTCAACTAGGCTTTATTCAACTTTACGACAGCTGCACAATGTTGGAGGTGAAACTTTTGTCTTTTTGACATGTTACTGGATTTTCCTTTGATGTGTTTATAAAAGAGTTGTAGGATTTTGACCTAGGTGATTGTTCATTTGATGATATCTATGGGTTGTTGATAATCAATTATCTTATAATTGTTTGATTGTTAGTTTGTTACGCACGTGTAGTGTCTACTAACTAAGAATTGGACGCAGTATGACACCATGATTGTAGGAAATTGGTTTTGAATGCAATAAGTTTGTCAAGGATTGAAATAGGAGTTGATAGTTTTTAGACTCGTATATTCATTGTTCCTATGGCTTCATTTATTGAGACATGAGTACTGTCAAAACTAAAACCGAAGGAATCGATTATTGGATTTTCCCAATAATACCACTACTCGACATGTGTTGGTTTTATGTGGGAATAAAGAAACTGATATAATGGTATGAGCTTCTAGCTATTTTGTAGATCATTTGGCTTGATAGGAGTGCAAGGGAGTATTTCATACAAGTCTATTTCTGTGATTAAAATCTTAGACTATGTGGTTTATTTTGTGTTGCTTTGTGCACTTCCGGAGGTATTATGTTTAAACAATCTCTGAGTGAGATCCAACTTTATTTGGTTTGTCTGGTGATAATAGTTTCTATTATGAGGATGTCTTAAGCTCTAGCATCTTAATTTTTTAATAAGAGCTTCTCAGTTAAATTTGCTTTAAACTTTATTCTGGTTTGTGTCCTGCCCAATTACTCTTTATTTGATTAAATTGTTGTTTGGTTTGTTTGTATTTTTGGCTAGATTCAAGATTTCATTTTTAGTTTGGGTGACCAAACATATATTACTAACTATATGATTTGTTTTGCAGAAAGTAGACTTGCAGGATCTCAGAAGAGATATCAATCGAGCTATGTTGGCAGCTTAGGTCAAAGAGGTCGAGATGCTGAGGGAGCAAGTGATTATTTTAGGGATGTTTATCGCCGAGGCGATCCAGAAGCAGTGATAAGAGCCTTTGAAAGTCAACCTGCTTTGCATTCTAGTCCTACTGCTGTGGCCGAGTATGTTAAAGCACTGGTCAAGGTTGATAGATTGAATGAAAGCGAGTTGCTCAGAACATTGCAGAGAGGTTTGTGTTGGAATATGTGTTTTACTTAATAAGTTGACAACAAGCTATGGTGACTACTTTCTCTTTTGACATCTCATACAATGTGTCTCTTGCCAATGGTGTCTGCTGATGAACTGAAAACTATGACTTCTCTATGGAAAAAGACTTGCATGTTGTCCCCTGGAATAGGCTTTGTTTCTTTGGGAAATTAAAATTTTATCTATGCATAATAAATGGCATTTTGTGGATAATGTGGTGCTTACTTTTCTCCTGACAAGTGAATAATTGTAGGGTCTTTTTTAACTTCTTGTTGTGGTCTTTGACTATTTGTATGTGCCACTCTTGGAATTGTTGTTTGTGAGTTTCATGCATTCGGTTGTTTGATTTTCATCTCAATATTTACTTGTTTAAGTATATATCAAGTTCTTTTATGTGGTGCCATTCTGTCTCTACTGTTATTTTTTTTTTCTCCTTTTGAAAGGATGTCCCTACTCTGCTTTGATCCCTAATTTCACTAAGCTATTTGTCTAAGCTTTGAACTTCAGCTTTTAGTCTTGGAAGATATTTAAAAAACACCTTAAAATTATGTAAATAATGAATTCCTGTGTAGTAAACTAGACACTATGACAATGGCTCACTTGCTCATTTCATTGACCTCTTAAATTACCAATAGCCTCCACCTAATAGCTGATCCTGCTGCTGGCTTGCAGGTGGAGCATTCCATCTGTGCATTGTTCTTGCTTCTCCTCAAAGTCATCTCTGAACTAATCTCATTTGCTCTATTTGTTGCCTTGATCTCTCTTTGGCGCCCTAAAATATTTCTCTGTAACATGTACATTTTTTTTGCCATCTGTTGTCTGCTGTTAGAGAGGCAGGTATTTCATGCCATCTCCTATCTCCCTCTCTCTCTCTCTCACCCACACACGCACGCGCACACACACACGCACGCACGCGCATACACAAATCTTTAAGTAGCGGAGGTTCTTGGTACATGTGCACTACATGCACGCGCAAACACACAAATATTGGTTTTTTTCGTGTGCAATCTCACAAGCCATTATTTTCTTGTGTCTAATGTAATTAAGTGCTATATTTGTAAGTCATTTGGTTTTTATCTATCTCAGTTATTTGTTCTCTTTCTATTTATTTCACTGTCCTCTCTCTTGCTTAATTGAATTGCTAATATCATCAGGAATAGCTGCCACGGGCCACAGCTTTTCTGAGGAAGAAAGCATGGGTGGACTTTCTGCTTTCCGCAATGTGGGAAAATCCACAAAAGATGGAGTACTTGGAACTTCTAGTGCTCCAATACATATGGTGTCTTCTGAAGGAGGGCATTTTAAGGAACAGCTGTGGCGTACTTTTCGTACCATTGCTTTAGCATTTCTCTTAATATCAGGAGTTGGGGCACTAATTGAAGACAGAGGAATTAGTAAAGGTACAGAAACTACAAGTGCTCTGAGTACATTGGTCCAGGGGCAAAAGGGCTAGGATCTTTCTCACTTTTAATTTTTGCTATTTTATAGTTTGTCTTTGAGCTAATTCATGAAATCCGCCTTTTCATAATTCAGGACTTGGTCTGAATGAAGAGGTGCAGCCTAGTATGGAGTCCAACACTAAATTCAGTGATGTGAAAGGTGTTGATGAAGCAAAAGCTGAGCTAGAAGAAATTGTTCATTATCTTCGAGATCCTAAGGTATGTTAATCCATGTATATAGTTTCTTTTATTTCTGACTGCTTTGAAAGTCTTTCATGTTCTTTTATTAAAAGTGGTTAGCATCTACAACTGGACTTCTATTATTTTTCCTCTTTCCTTTTATCTGCAAGTGTTTCTCAGAGAGACTCATCAATGAACTGCGTTAATATCTTTTAATCTATCATATTAAGAAGGCAAAGAGTATATACACTTTTCAATTATGACCAGTGTTATAGAGAGACTTCATTTTACCTTATGCTAACTCCATATGGTTTGGGCTCTTGACATTTAAATTTGTTTTAATAATACTTTGTATAATACAGTGTGGTTAAAACTCGTAATTATCTGGTCCTGTTTGATACTAGTAGCCAAGTCTAAATGACACTGATCAGTGATCATGACATCTAAAAAGTTGTTCCTTGGTTGTTGTTACGACTCCTCTCTCCTGCTAGTATGAAAATGTTAATGTAGGTTTTGACTCCTCTCCCGCTTCTTATCTGTACTGTACAGTACTGATAGCAAACATGAGGCACTTGTATGATGTGCAAATTTATGTTGATATGTACTACATTATTTTTTCCTTTGATGTCACTTTTGGTGTCTTGAAAGAAAGCATTTTCATTCTTTTGTATAGTATCTTGGTGAACTATTGTGCCAATGGATACTATTTTTTCCCCAAAATTATGTCTGCGATGTTAGATTTATTATGATTCTTGCGTGGATAGTTATGTCTTATTGATACATATTTTTTTATATCTACAGCGTTTTACTCGTTTGGGAGGTAAACTCCCCAAGGGTGTTTTGCTTGTTGGCCCTCCTGGTACTGGCAAAACTATGCTAGCCAGAGCTATTGCTGGAGAAGCTGGAGTACCTTTCTTCTCTTGCAGTGGTAGTGAGTTTGAGGAGATGTTTGTTGGTGTTGGAGCCAGGAGGGTTAGAGATCTGTTTGCAGCGGCTAAGAAACGGTCACCTTGTATCATTTTTATTGATGAGATTGATGCTATCGGGGGAAGTCGTAACCCCAAGGATCAGCAATATATGAAAATGACATTAAATCAGTTGCTTGTTGAACTTGATGGCTTTAAACAAAGTGAGGGAATTATTGTGATAGCTGCAACCAACTTTCCTGAATCATTGGACCATGCGCTGGTTAGACCTGGACGATTTGATCGACATGTTACCGTTCCCAATCCAGATGTTGAAGGACGCAGACAGATTTTAGAAACTCATATGACTAAGGTATGAAATAGTGGTGACAAATTTCCTGTTTCCCTGGATTAAATAGTTCACGTCTTTTGCATTGTTGTTTTGAATGAACTATCATTTAATCAGATGTTCAGAAGTTCATAACACCTTGGGAGGGGAGTAATTTATATTTTGATATTGCCCTTAGATGTTACTCCCTCTATCCCAAAAGTGTTCCACACTTTCCTTTTCCATCTGTCACAAAATAGACTTCCTATTTCAGTATGTACCTGCTAGGGATGGCAATGGGTAGGGTCTGGGTAGGGTCTAGTGATACCCGGACCCGTACTTGGAATTTTCAATCCATACCCATACCCATACCCTACCCGAACCCTTAGGGTCTAAAATTTTAAGACCCTTACCCGGACCCTATGGGTCTAGCAGTCTGGGTAGGGTCCAGGGTCCAATATGGGTCCTTCACTAACCTTTTTTTCCCAAATTTTAATTGTCTGTTTTTAATTGTACGATTGCATGTATTGCGCAAAAAGCAAATAAACTAATACATAAGAACATGACCGATTAATTTGGCATATCGTAAATCAATTAAATAAAAAAAAAAAATATTAGAATGATATATAAACAAATTATTATCCATAAGCTCATTACAATTTAAGTCTTGTAGAATTAAGTGCACAAGTAGAAAGTTAATAGCCTACTATTTATAATCGTCTTTCGTATCATACTCGATTTCATCATTAACATCCTACAAAATCAACATCCTTAAGATTTTTTCTATTTGATTTTGAAAATTTGTCTTAGTTAATATATTATGCGGGTCTATGTACGGGTCTGGGTAGAGTACGGGTTTGAAAACATCATATCCGGACCCTTACCCTACCCGATGCCGCCTAGACCCATACCCTACCCGTACCCATAGGGTCTAAAAAAATTAGACCCATACCCGTATTTTAGGGTAGGGACTGACAAGGTCTGGGTAGGGTCCCGGACCCATTGCCATCCCTAGTACCTGCCCGTCTATTATTTCTTATCTTCTTTTTGGATCCAATATCTCCTTTCATTTCTCTTTTTCTTCATACTCCACTTTTTCCTACCATTCCACTTTTGCGTTAAAATAACAATAGGTAAGGCAACCACAAGGCCTACCAACTATTCTCTTGATACGTTGTCAGTTGTCACGAACAAGTATTTGAATTATTCTAGGATAGAGGGAGTATCATTAATTGTAGACAGTGTCTTGACCGTCAAAACCTGTACATGTTTACCCCAAACTCAAACCCGGACTGTACCCAAATTACATGACCCAATCATGAGCTGAACTGGTAACCTGAAAAGTAATGACCTATATTGCTTGATTTATCATAATAACTACTCGTAACCCATGTATGACCCAAATCAAACCTGATCCAAGCAATTCGTTTCCAATGTTTTCATAGAATTTCTTTGATGAAGGCAAGAAAATAGGAGTAAATCAGCTTGTTTTCTGTTGATCGATGTTCTGGAAAGAAAGCACTGCAATTTTTTCTCCCCTATTCTTTGGCTTTAATGTTGGGTTTTATTAGGTCTGAGTTAGGAATTCTGATAGACAAAAGCCCTGTGTTGATTGGGTGTGGTGATTTCTTTAGCTCCGATTATCTGTTGTCATTGTGATAATAGTAAGAAACTCTTGTGGTTGTTAGTTAGATGAGCGTACCAAGTATAAGCTACATATATTTATTTATTTTGTTTTTGGAATAATAGAAGTGTAGTTCTGAACTTTTGGTTATCCTGTCAGTTGTCACCAAGACACTATAGATTGAGTGCTAAATCTGTTGATTGCTGTGTACATGCACTAATGCTATTTCTACCTTTGGGTCGTTCGACATGTTTTACTATATACAGGTGCTGAAGGGAGAAGATGTGGACCTCATGATTATTGCTCGAGGAACGCCAGGCTTCTCTGGTGCTGAGCTTGCTAACCTAGTTAACATAGCTGCTCTGAAGGCTGCAATGGATGGGGCCAAGGCAGTGAGCATGCCTGATCTTGAGTATGCCAAGGACAGAATTTTAATGGGCAGTGAGCGCAAGTCCGCTGTAATCTCCGAGGAAAACCGGAGGATGACAGCGTATCATGAGGGCGGTCATGCCCTCGTCGCTATGCACACTGCTGGTGCCCTTCCGGTTCACAAAGCTACAATCGTCCCTCGAGGTGTTTCCCTTGGAATGGTTACTCAACTTCCTGAGCAGGATCAAACAAGTGTTTCCCGGAAACAAATGCTTGCCCGCCTTGATGTTTGCATGGGAGGTCGAGTTGCTGAGGAGCTCATTTTTGGGGAGAATGAGGTAACTTCTGGTGCATCCTCTGATCTCCAACAAGCAACAAAACTTGCACGGTCAATGGTAACAAAGTATGGGATGAGCAGAGAGGTTGGGCTTGTGACTCATGATTATGATGACAATGGCCGGAGTATGAGCACTGAAACTCGGCTCCTTATTGAGCAAGAGGTTAGGTTTTTACTTGAGCAAGCATACAACAATGCCAAAAACATTCTTACAACTCATAGCAAGGAGCTCCATGCCTTGGCTAATTCATTGTTAAAGAATGAGACACTCACGGGCAATCAAATAAAGGAGTTGATTACAGAAGTCAACTCAGAGCAGAAGCAACAGCAGCAACAGCAGATAGTGGCCACTCAGAACAGTGAGCAGTCTAATCCGTCTCCACCATCAACCCCAGGTGCCGCAGCATCAGCAGCTGCAGCTGCAGCAGCCGCTGCAGCCGCTGCTGCAACAGCCAAAGCAAAAGGAGTTGCTCCAGTGGGGTCTTAAATGTAGACTCTATTTATAAAAAAGCTTTTTTTCTTATATAAAAAATTTACTGAATCCATTGTGCATATATTTAGCTGTTAATTTTTATTGGAGGATGATGTTCTATTTCCTGTCATTCGCTACCATTTCTTGCGTGCATTTGCTGCAAGTTATCTGGTGTTTTCCCTGTATCATCAATCCGTGAGTTGGAAAGTGAACTAGAGATGTAGAGAAACTTAGCGGCCGAAGCAGATCTGACACGTTAAAGTTGTGTAGCAATATAAAGGTGGTTTGTTCTTTTGCATATGTGCAATAACAGGTTCTACATTTCTCAATAACACTCAGTTTAAGTCGTCTCTTTATTTACTTAAGCTTATTTTGGTGAAGAGGGAGACTATTATATGGGATACACAGCTTACAGCTTGAACGGTTCAGGCATACCAAACTTTTGTTAGATTGTGAATGAAATATATGCCTTTGCTATAAAAAGAGGTTGAATCCTTTCTCGACTTTGTATACTTCATCGAATACCTAAAGAGGAAATAACTCAATAAGGCTCGGAGAATAGACGTAGATTTTGTACTTTGTTATTATGTATTACTAGATGGAAGCCCGTGTGATGCACGGTTTTTTCATCTAAGATTTTTAATTATTTGATTTATTGTATTTAATAATTTCAGACAAAATTACAAAAGTTTAATATTTATTTATTTTTACTATAATTTATAATGAATTTATTAAATATAAATAAATTGTAAATATAATATTTTTTCCGTTATATAAAATCTTTAATATGAAATGATATATTTATAATTTAAATCCTAAATCATCATATCTTTTATTTCGATAGAATCACCAATCTCGTCCACAACCAACCTACTACATCAATGGATAAATTGAATCGTGAAATGTTAGCCAAACTGAAATTGATATAAATTAAATCTCTACATTTATATAAAATAAATCAATATATTTACCAATAAATGAAAAATTGTTGCGATATAAAATCAAATCTATGCATTGAAATTCTTTCATCATCTCCAAAAATAACCAAAGCCATCCATATATTAAGTATACAACATCTAATCGTATGTCATTACATAAACAAATAATCGTTAAGTATCCTAAATAAATACAATGTAACTAATAATTACAAATATAAATTTAAACATAAGATTTTAAAAATTATCCGGACATTGATGACCTTAAAGGCTAAAACTAACACAAAATTACTAACACAAAATTCGCTTGATGGGCTTTTGTATTGATACGAAATTTTATTTGTGTCGTATGATGTGTTAGATCTGCATGTAAAAAAACATTTAGTAAATAAAACATAAACATATATTAGTTGAGTATCCCAAATTAATACAATGTAAGTAATAATTAGAAATACTAATTTAAACATAGAATTTAAAAAATTAAGCTAAAAATTACCCGGCCATTGATGACCAAAAAACACAAAATTACTAACACAAAATTCGCTTGATGGGGTTTTTTATTGATACGAAATTTTGTTTGTGTCGTATGATGTGTCAATTTATAATGGTAGGTATCACAAATTTTAATTTAATTATACTTAACGAACAATTTGTATTTCTTATCGTAAATTCTATCAAAATTTATCTTATAATGATAGGTATCAAACTTTATTATAAGCGTTTATCATTTAAATATTTCTTAGTATATTTTTTTTGGATTTCTTATACTCGTAGTATTGAATTAATAAATTTATCTTTTTCTATATTTTTACTTTATTTTTTCCATTAAAATAATTTAATTCGTGGATTATAATCTACGTGACATTTAAATTTTAGATATATCAAATCTAATTCGTTACTTTTATCTAGGTGGTGACATAATTTTTTAATTCAAAAATAAAATACAAATCTTTCTTCTTATTGGTCAAAATAAACATAATTCTTACGTGACGCTCCAAATGTTCTCCAAAAATACCTACTTTATTTATATATATTAGATTTCCAAGGATTCAAATCCTCAAAATTTATTACGAAGTATATATTTTAATTTTCTAGAGATTCAAGTCCACTACTTGTTTACCTTATATTATCTTTCCTCTACTTTTCATCATTTTGATTGTTTTTGAAGTCATCTTTAGTACATCAAATACCATTTTTTTACCTTGACCATACATAATATATATACGGAACGAATCAAGCAAGACTTGACAAATTGGAAATGTTTGAATCTCGAAGCTTTTTGAGAGTGAGGAGCTGGGGATTCCCTTATCTTTCCTTAAGACCTTACCTGCTAAATCGGGATGAATTGACCCGTGAGGATTCCATCCAAAAAGAGCAGTTTATAGAAAATAATATTTACGGGGCGTTTGATTGGAGGGATGGAAATGAGAGGGATAAGAAGGGAGGATAAAGATAGGGGATTGATAGGTGGGACAAGGATAAATAATTTTTATCCCATGTTTGATAAGTATGGGAAATAAATTAGGGATAAGTAATAAATTTATAAAAATATCCTTATTAAGTTCTATCCTTTCCCCTTACCCTTTCAATTTCATTAAGGGTAATTTGGTCTTTTAATACCCCTTTCTTATCCCTTCCCCTTATACCACCCCCCTTAGTTATAGAAATGGAGGGATAAGTGGGTATTTTTATCCCTATCCCTAACCCTCTTTTAATCCCCATCCCTCTAAACAAACACTACATTTCTTTTATCCCTATTTTTCATCCTTGTCTTACCCCTTTTATCCCCTAAACAAATACCTTCCTAGTTTTCTATTCTTATCCCTCCAAAAATATATATTTAAAAGTTCTGTAAACTTTGTATCCACCAACCACCCAACAAAACCCTTCCTAGGCCTCAAGTCAACTTACAGAAAAGTGAAAAACACCCAAATTACTTACAAAAAAATGGCTGAAATTCTCTCGAATTCTGTAGAAGGCAGATTAACCTCACCCCCAAACACTCTTTTGCTGGAAATCTTCTCACTCCTCCCATTCAAATCAGCAGCTGCCACCTCCATTTTATCTCGCCGATGGTGTTACCTTTGGACTCAACTCCCTTACATCTTCTTAGATGGACCATGTGTTAGGATTAGTGTGGAGATGAATCAATGCATTGAGGCATAAGGTGAGAAGCTAGAAGCTGCTATTGGTTGTGAGTTCGATCGAACAAGAAGGAGTTCGGCCAAACTCGTGAAAAGTTCGTTCGAACATGCTGGGTCCGATCGAACCATGTTTTGAGGCAGTAGCAACAACACTTCCATTTTCTAGCATAGGTGTGACCGAACCTTAAGGGAGTTCGACCGAACTCCGGGTAGGTTCGGTCGAACCCCTGCTGCTCTGTTTCTACGGTGCGATTTCAGCCCGTGTGCTTGATTAATTGCTAGCCCTTGGATTGTCATTTAATACCTAGACTATATATACTTTTACTAAGCCTCTTTTATATGAATACACAAAACATAAACACATAGAGGGGGTTTGTGAGAGATTTGTGAGGAGCATTTGAATGTCATACCATTCATGCTTGTAATCTTGATTTCATTCATCATCAATACTACTCCATAGTGCAAAGGGTGGGGTTTTTTCTCCCGGGTCTCGGGTTTTTCCACCGTAACATTATCTCCCTTTTTTTTACTTGCTTTAATTTCTTCATGGTTGTTCTTAGTTGTTGTGCTTGTTTTGTTCTTCATTGTTGTGGGTTGATTGCAATTAGTTTGAACCCTTAATCCTTTCAATTGGTATCAGAGCCAGGGTTAATCTTTGGTGTTTTAGGGATTTAGGGTTTGTGTTAAACTTGAATTTGTGATTGAGTTACAAAGTTTGGGTCTTTAGGTGTTCAAAGTTTGAATCTTGGGTGTCAAGTTGCATTCTTTGTTGTTGAAAAACTACTGTGAACTTTGTGTGTTTGATTTTCAATGGAAGAAGGCAAGTTGAGAATTAAGAAGTTTGATGGGAAGGTTTTGGGTTTTGGAAGATGCAAATAGAGACTATTTGTATCAAAAGAACCTATATTTTCCCCTTACTAGTAAACCATCAGGTATGAAGGAAGATGAGTGGAAAGTATTGGATAAACAAGCTCTTGGAGTGATTAGATTGACATTGGCAAAGAGTGTTGCTTACAATGTCAAAGATGTGACAACGACGATTGGTGTGATCAAAGCATTGTCCAATATGTATGAGAAGCCATCGGCTATGAACAAGGTGTTCTTGATGCGTCGTTTGTTTGAAATTGAAATGAATGATAGTGGTTCCGCCCCCGAATATATAAATGAATTCAATTCGATAATCCCTCAACTAGCTTCTGTTGAGATCAAGTTTGATGATGAAGTGAGGTCCTTGATTTTGTTGTCATCGTTGCCTAGAAGTTGGGATACCGTTGTAGCCTCCATTAGCAACTCTTTCGGAAAGTCGAAGTTGAAGTGTGATGACGTGAGGGACTTAATCTTGAGTGAGAGCTTGAGAAGGAAGAACTCGGGTGAGTCATCGGGTGGTGCTTATTCTAGTGAAGGTAGAGGACGTGGAAGACAACAAAGAGGTGCTCAAAGAGGAAGATGGAAGTCTAGAGGGAGGAGTAAGTCGAAAGGGAAGGTGAACATTGTGTGTTGGGGTTGTGGTGTGAAAGGGCATACAAAGAGGGAATGTCCTAATCCCAAGAAGAAGGGTGGTTTAAACCACAAGAACCACGATGATGCTAGTTTATCGGTTAGCTTGGCATCAAGCGATGAAATCGATGATGCATTGATCTTGAGTGTTGATAGTCCCATTGAGTCTTGGATCCTTGATTTGGGAGCTTCATTCCATTATTCTCCATGTATGGAGATTTTCCAAAACTTCAAGAGCGACAAGTTTGAAAAGGTGTACCATGCGAATGATGAACCGTTAGATATTGTGGGGAAAGGAGATGTCATGATCAAGACTTCAAGTGGGAGCTCATGGAAGCTTGAAGATGTTAGGTACATACCTAAGCTAAGAAAGAATTTGATTTCGGTGGGTCAACTTGACTCAAGTGGTTTTAGAACCATGTTTGGTGAGGGTACTTGGAAGGTGTAGAAGGGAGCTATGGTGGTGGCTCGGGGCACGAAGACCGGTACTTTGTACACTACCTTAGGGTGTACAAGCATGATTTCTACAACCGCAAATGATGAGACTAGGCTTTGGTATACTCGGCTTGGTCACATGAGTGAGAAAGGGATGAAAATGCTAGCTTCAAAGGATAAGTTGTCGGGGTTGAAATCAATCGACATGAGATTTTGTGAAGCATGTGTTTTTGGCAAGCAAAAGAAGGTGTCTTTCACAAAAACCAAACGGTCCTTGAAGAAGGAGAAGCTAGAACTTGTGCACACGGATGTTTGGGGCCCATACCCCATCAAGTCCCAAGGTGGTTCTCACTACTTTGTTACTTTCATTGATGATTCAACCCGGAAAGTATGGGTGTATTTCATGAAGTACAAGTCGGAAGTGAATGAGAAGTTCAAGACTTGGAAGGCGGAGGTTGAAAATGCTTCGGGCAAGAAGATTAAGGCAATCAAGTCCGACAATGGAGGAGAGTATGAGTTGGAAGCTTACAAGAACATTTGTAAGGAGCATGACATTGTTTTTGGAGAGGACCATTCTCGGTAAACCTCGCCAAAACAGGGTAGCAGAGCGGATGAATAGGACCTTACTTAAGAGGGAAAGGTGTATGAGGTTGTTTGCGGGCCTCCCAAAATTCTTTTGGGCGGATGCCACTAGTCCCCCGACTTACTTGGTAAACCGTGGACCTTTGGTGCCTTTGGAATTCAAGATAACGGAAGAGGACTGGAGTGGTAAGGAGGTGTCCTACACTCACTTGAAAACTTTTGGTTGTGTGGCCTATTTGCAATCCGAGAACAGAGACAAGCTAGACCCAAAGGCCATCAAATGTTACTTCATCGGGTATGGATGTGAGAAATATGGTTATAGATTGTGGGATCCTAAGAATCGAAAGATTGTTAGGCATTGTGACATCACTTTTGATGACAGCTCCTTGTACAAGGACAATTTTGGTGGGAAATCCATTGAGAAAGAATCAATTGGAGATGAGTGGGAATTTGTTGAGCTAGATGGTAAAGTTAGAAGTGGCAAAGAGGTTGAACAAGTAGAAGTTGAGGTGACAATTCAACAAGCATCTCCTTAACATGGTGTTCATGTTCCTGTGGATTCGGATTCAAGTGATTCAGATGATGATGATCACTTGGAAACGGATGAGCGAGTAGTTATGGGTGAGCCTGTTGTGGTTCAAGGAGAGCCTTCTACACCACCAACGGTGAGTAGATCATCAAGACCAATCAAGCCATCAAACCGATATTCTCCATCCTTGCATTATTTGTTGTTGACGGATTTCGGTGAGCCGGAATGTTATCAAGAGGCAATGGGCATGGGTGACTCGTTGAAGTGGGAGCAAGCAATGGAAGACGAGATGTCTTCATTGGAGAAGAACAACACTTGGGTGTTGGTTGAGTTGCCCAAGGGCAAGAGAGCACCTTTGTGCAAGTGGATCTTTCAAAAGAAAGAAGAACCGGATGGTACAATTCGGTACAAGGCAAGACTTGTGGTGAAAGGTTTTTCACAAAAGGAGGGCATTGATTATCACGAGATCTTTGCTCCAGTTGTGAAGTCAACCACTATAAGGATCTTGTTGGCTATAGTGGTTTCGGAGGACTTATTTCTTGAGCAAATGGATGTAAAAACCGTGTTTTTACATGGTGATTTGGAGGAGGAAATTAAATCTACATGAAGCAAATTGTTCGATATTTTCTGTGTACTTGTGTATTTGAAAATGAATCACTTGTAGAGCTTGAGTTGGGTGGAAATATTTTCTGTGTACTACCAGAATTTGGGACTGTTAGTCTTCCAAAGTTGAAGAAACCTGTGTTGGTTGACTTACCATCCCTCTACGTGTTTAAAACTATAATTAAGTCATGCCTAACTTTGGAAATGTTGTCTTTGGAATTAGATAATGATTCTGCTTACCTTAAAATCTTCGATATATCAGCTCTGAAATTGAAGTCCTTGATTATCAGAGGAAAATCGCGACAATTTATCCTAGTAATTGATGCACCAATGCTCGAACACATTGAGATTTGTGGTTTTCTTGGAATCTATAAACTTGTCAAGTATCCAAGCATATTGTTCAGGGCTAATCTTGACATTTGGAATTTTAGTTATAGTAGGACTGATTATCTTATACTTATACCAAAAGTTCTTCAAGGGATTTCTAGTGTTGAGTCTCTTAAACTGTTAAATGGTCTTATTGTGTTCAATGCACTTAATGACTTTGATGTTGATGTTTGGTCAGCCTTTCATAATTTGGTCCATCTAACTATGGATATGTCTACGAATGAAGTGGATTGGGGTGACTGAAATCCAATACCTATGTGCTTGTTAAGTCAGCTTAAGAAGATAAAACTATTGAATGTCAAGGGTAATGCTAATGATGTGAAGTTGCTAGAGTACATTTTAAGTAAGGCAATTGTTCTGGAGCGGCTTTATGTTTCCTCTGCTTGTGATGGTTATGGCGATGATGATAGAGAAAGAGATCAGCTATGGAGGCAATATAAGTTGTCTAAAACACTGTTGTTGGTTCCGAGGAGTACCGAAGTCGAGTTTGTTGGTGGTTACATCCATTTATCTAATAATAGATGCATCTCAAAATGGATGCATTGTAAGATAAAAGGATGAGGATCCTGCTTGTGGCGAGACACCTGACACTGGAAGGCGGGTATGATTTTTATCATCATCATCGTATGTGAGCTCCTTTTCTCTTGGATGTAGCAAGAAATTCAAGACTAATCTCGCTTCAGCTTGAAATACACTCTTGCTGCTTCCTGTACATCTATTGTGTTCCTGTAATTAATCTGAGAAAAATTGTTCTTATAAACCCATTGGTTCAAGGACATATACTGTTTTCTTAATCAGTTTGTTTGGCCGCCTAATCACCAATATATGATGTCGAATCATGTCTTACTTTCAAGTGCTGTAAGACTGAATTTTAAGTTTCTGACATTTGTACATTGTAAGTGATATTATTTTGATAGGTGCGGACATTGCAAATCCAATTCTGTTTTGTCACTCTATCAACCTTACACCATATTAACCTACTGTTGTGCAGTTTGCAAATCAGGTTTGGAGTGTTCTTTTTATATAAAGAACATGAGTTACAGTGATTATTTATGTACAATTATCCCGGACAATTCCTGATAACTGGCTGTTATTCAAGGTCTCTCTACTTAGTCTCATCTACATAGCAATCGTTTTCATGCTTACAATATCAAATAACATAATCAAGACTGCAAATCAATGAAAGGTAAAAGAGTACAGTACAATCAGATTAAAATTTGCCTTGTAAGATCAGTGCAGGTCGAATTTCCTCCCACAACTTCATTGCTTCATCAATCTCTGTAATATCATAAAAGAGCATAGAGTTCGGAATTCCATGGCAACGCATACCATGCTCATGACGCCCTTCATAGAAGTGCCTCTCAAAAGCAATTTGATCCTTGTAGGTGTAATTTCTACATATATGACACTCGAATTCTTGATCTATCGCATCCCAACCCTGCAACAACTCATTAACCTTTTCAATATCTTCTTCTCCGTGGCTTTCTATGTCAGATTCAAGCACATGATCAGCTTTAATTACAGTCATAGGCTATTTAGTTAGTAGTCATTGCTAGCCTGTTCTTAACATCATGTCTAGTTACAGTCTCTTCCAGGATCTCGCACAACTCGTTCACTTTCACTTCTACAAGTATTGTTGCTTTATAATGAAAATGTTGTTCATCCTCTTCTCTTCTCAACTTTAAGTACTTCCGGTCCAGCTTGTCTACAAGGGTGTTCTTGGCCAAAAGAAGCCTCGTTGCTCTTTGAAGGACAATACCTTCTCAGATTTGAGTCTTAAGGCATCTTAAGCCTCTTTAATTCATCTTTATACTAGTTTTATATTATTTATTAACAAATCACAACTTTTTTTTATAAAAAATACCTGAACATTTTTTTGAAGACAAAATAAAAAATAAAAAAAAAAAAAAAAAAAACTCAACATTATTTGCAAAACTATGTAACTTAAAATTTTGAAAAAAAAAAGCATATATTATTAATGAGTTTGATTTTCCTTTTGTTAAGTTTGATGGAAGACAGGAAGAAAGAGGAGTACTTGTTCAGGGGAAAAAAATTACGCCGGGGGGGGGCCCGGGTAATTTTATCCTCGTTTTTAGGGGAATATATTATCCTCTTAGGTGACGTTTGGTTGCTATGGGAATTTACTTCCCATAATAATTTGGATTTCATGGGAATTAAATTCCTACATCAAATTCATGGGATTGCATAAAGTTGTTTGGTTGGCATGAAGAAAGTTGCAAATCATGGGAATTTTGACTTACTAAGGGGGGGTTAGGTAATTAACTTCCCATGTTTTGTGGGAAGTCATAATTCCCATGATTGCAATTCCCTCATTTACACTTTTTATTTTCAACCAAATAACCTTTACATTTTCAAATTCCCATGATTTTTCACTTTCCTCAATTTCTTTAATATTACTCCCCATCCAGGCAAATAAAAAAAATCTGAATTTTTCTTCCCATAGCTTTTACCCTCCTTCTACTGGCATTCAGGCAGGCCCTTAGTGAATAATATTACCCCCAAATTTCATTATAGTCACCTTAAATCACATAAAAGTCACCCCTTTACAAAGTTGTGCCATAAGTGATTAGTGGATAAGGTGATCAAATTCGTGTTTCACAATTGTTTAGGGACCATATTGATTTGAGCCAATAAACAAGAGTTTTAAACACAATTTTCAATTTGAAACCTAAAACAACCCGCAAAAGTTATCAAAGACTAATATTCACCTTAAAGTGATATGAAAATTGACTCAAATCTAGAATTGTCCAAAAATGGCCCGATCCAATTAGATCCAACCTTACCTAAAGTGATTTGTTGAACAATTCGACCTACATTGACACAATGATATAACATGACGAACTAGACCCAACCCAATCACCTGAAATTCCCAAATTGACACCATGACCAACCGGAACAAAAATTGACCAAGTTAACCCATTTGAGGTGTCTAGACAAACAGGCAATTGTGCCACACAAAGCGCTTCAGAAGTGAACTGCCTCGTACTCATTTGTCATCATACGCTCAGAACACCTCCGGCAAATTGATTTTCCGGCAATCTCTCTCTTCTCTTCCGACTGACGAAATCCTTTTGGTAAGCTATCCCTATCTCTGCTTCTTCCCCTCATTTTACTATTGATTCATGATCTTGTGCTTACTTTTGAATGTGATAATTGATTTATTTGGAAAATTTTCTGGCGAATTTGACCTTTAATTAGCATGTTTTAATTAATTTTTTGCAAATTATGTTTTTAATATTAATATTGTAGAGCAGAAAAACCCTATAATTGATGAATATTAGATATATTAATTATGCAGTTGGGTTGTCATAATTGGGAAACCTGGAGAGGTTTGAGAGTGCTCGTGAACAAATTGTGGATTATAGATCATAAAATTAGTAATTTTGATTGAGTTTGCTTATGAAGGGGGAGAAATGTAGATATTGGGCCTTGTTTATTTGTGAGAGTATGTAATAGACACTGGAAATAGAAAGTTGAAGAAAATTGCTATCTTGCAAAGTGGAAAGGTGAACAACAAGGTCGGATTCTTGTAACTTTTAGATCAATGTAAAAGAACGAAATCGATTCACGGTTGTAATATTATCCAGTCCAGCTAGAATGTTGAATACTAATGTATATTTGAATTGGTTTTAGTTGAAATGGGGAAACATTAGGTGAATGGAATTAGGATAGAGTTGTTTTCTATCTTTAAATTAAGGGAATAGATTATTTTCAACAGGATTCATTGCCTCTTACATAAGATTGGCTTCTGATGAAGTTATAAATGGGGTTATTTTTAGGTGTGTATAATCTGTTTGTTTTTGATTGTTGGTTGAACATAGCTCTTGAAATTCATTTACAATAAATAAAGGCGATGTTTGTCCTGATTTTGGCAGATTAATTCCAGAATGAATATGTTTATACTTCGTATGTTGCATAAATTTCCACCTGAAAATTTCACCTATTTTTGATGTATATACTATGCCACTAGTTTAGCTGCGATGATACCATCTTGTAGCACCTGTCATGCTCAGTTGTGGAACTCAGTGGAACGTGTTGGGCAAAGACAAGTGCTACAAATTATTTTTCCTTCCGTAACCGGTCTTATATTCGTCTGTTAAAATGTTTTGTAGTTTAAGTTCTTGTATATACTCAAAGTGTCAAATCAAGCATCTATAGAAGAGGCGATTCTCTTTTCTGTAATGTGTCAACATATGCTACTTGGGAAATATCTTAATCCATTTTCTTGTTAATTCTCATTAATTTTGGAGTGGATAAAGAAGTATCCATAACCACTTGATTGTTTAGAGCCAATGTATGTTTCTTTGCAAGCCATAGATGTACTTTAATATATGGTCAGGTCTCGTTGAATGCTCATTAATTTCCGAGTGAGAATTGCACATAACAAACACTCCATATAAAAATAATGAGGATATATATAAATATACAAATAACTGAATTGAAGCAGCGGATTGTTCTAGTCTGTCTCAAATCCTGTCCAATCTGTTGTTCAATATGTTCACTAAAGACTAATTCTTGATTGTCAGTTTTGGCTGTGCTATGTTAGGTGTTAAAACTCTTTCAGACATCAGAATACTTGCAATCCCAACTCCAAGACGATGCATGACACACCAAATCCGGCCATATCATGTAACCCCTCGAAAGCAATTTCAGAACCTTAGGAAACTTGTGGTTTGTGCTAAAGAGCAGAAGAATGGAGATGAAAATGAGATAAGCAAAGAGCCAAAACCCAACAATGAAAATGGTACTGAGGCCAGTGACGATCAGCAGACACCATTATTCAAACTGAGATGGACTGATTTGCTGCTTGATCCAGATCCAGACAATGTATTGGCTGTGGGCCTGACAGGTCTGCTTACATGGGCGAGTGTCCAGGTGGTGTGGCAGCTGTTAACTGTCTCATTGGCTATCGTAATTGCTGCGCTTAAGTACTCTTTCGTTGCTGCTCTTCTTATTTTCATTCTCGTTGCCCTTCTTTAACTGCATCAATTGTTAAGATTCCTTAGCTTGTGAAATGTACAGTAGTTTTAAGTCTTGTAAACGTTATTGAATTGTAAATGTGATTCATATATATGGTATTATTGGAGAAAATTTTATCAAAAGTTATTGTTGAGGCACTATAAAGAGGTTGTACAGGGAAATCATACATTGTAGTTTTGATTAGAGGTGTCAATTCAGATGATCGGATCGGGTCGGATCGGGTCAATTTTTAAAGTTGAGTCATACCAAATTAATGTGTCCACGCGAGTCGAAATCTGAATCTAGGTCGGGTGGTTTTGACACCTCTAGTTTTGATCTCCATTCATTTATTAATTAAGACATTTTTTTCCCCTAAAAATCCATAACATGTACATTATTGCAGAATTATAAAACTACATTCTGTAACTCATTTTTTATTTGAGCTGATCTTTTAAAGTGGACTATCATGAACAGATTAATTCCCACACTTCATTTTCATATTATGCAAGAGATAATATTCAGCCCTTTCTCTTCACAACTTTGCCAATCTTGCTTGGTATTCTTAGTTTCTTACAGGTTGAACTTTCTAGTCGGAAGCTTCAAGAGTCAAGACTATTGTTGTCTACTGTCCATAGTGAAAAGAGCAGTTTACTCGACCAAATGCTTCAGTCACATCGGTTTTGAATGCACAAGTGCATGAACAGAGAGTTTGAAATTTGACGGATGAATTTAGGCAAGGCATTCAAGATTGATAAATTTCAAGAGCTGAAGGACTCGTTCGAATCAACTCTACATAGAGTAATATAACAACTAAAAGGATGTTTGTGTCAAGCATATAGTAAGATCGCATGACAACTAATTCGAGACAAAAAGTGTGCTTACAGGATCCAAGCATAACCAGAATGCAAGTACCAAAAACATTTTGGCCCATGCAGGGGTCGAACCTGCGACCTTGGCGTTATTAGCACCACGCTCTAACCAACTGAGCTAATGGGCCACAATAATGATGATATTATCTATTATAAAAATATATAAATTTGTAATTAATAAAAGTGAATTAAAAAGTGAAAACTATAAATTGGCCCATGCAGGGGTCGAACCTGCGACCTTGGCGTTATTAGCACCACGCTCTAACCAACTGAGCTAATGGGCCTTGATATTTTAAATGGCTCACTAATACTTATATTGAAATTATAAATTGTTTATGTCATAGATGATTAATCAAGTGAGGTTGATCTTGAAGAAGAGTAAAGCATGTAATTTGAATGCAATCACAAATACAATGATAAAATTGTGAAAGAAATCACCAAAGGTACAAGCAATTGAAGATTCTATAAATTAGAAAATACTAAGTATTGAAAATAAATCAAATTACATAAACAAGTCAACGGATTGTACGTTGATGGTGTTTGATACCTCGTTAGCCCTTTTCAAAGAGCTCCTAAACCCGCCTAATATTTAAATATGTTCTTGCAACAAGTAACACCAAATCACACTTGACATCGCCTAGGAGGCTAGGACGCCTAGGATCATAAAACATAAAAAGAAATCCTAGTTCATAGTTCAATGTTTGTAAGTGCAAGTCTAGAAAAATTCCGATCTAAAAACCCAAAACTTTTTTCGAATATCCAAAATCCTAAAATCGGATTGAATACCCGAATTTTCGGGTCAAATCATCGAATTTTCGGATCAGATATTTTTTAATACCTCTAATTAGGGAGGAGATGAAATAATTAATAATTAATAACAATTGCTCTGCTATGTTGACAACATTTCTGCTCTGCTTAGAAGCAGGTCTTAGTGGTTTATGGGCTTCAGTTAGCGAAATTTACTCATTTTATCGCTGAATATTACAAATTTGCCCCAATATCCTGGAGATTAACTTGTATTTTCTCATCTTTTGCTCAATCTCATTTTTTTTGTCTTTTTTTTTTCACCTTTTCTCCTCCAAAAATCTCTCTAGTATGGCTGATCATCAACCCAAAGACTTTAATTCTTCCGTTGGGCAAGATAATGCTGGAATTAACCAGTCTAATCATTCTCAACGTAAGTATTTTATATTGTTTTACTCACCTTAATTCTCACCTTAATCTTATAAAATTATAATAACAATGTGATCCTGCAAATGGGTTTCGGATTATATATTGAGAAATTTGTGGGCTTTTTCTGTTTTCAAATTTATGGGGTTTGATTTTATTATCATTTGTATAAGTTGAATCCAAATATAGAAAACTTAATATTGATTTGGGATCGTAAAATACTTGCTAATTTGATTAAAATAAAAATGATTTAAAATTTGATATTAATTGGGAATTCGGTGAAATTGGAGACTTTATTCCGTTACAATTGACAATTAAATTTTCCATTTACCTGGGATTGGCTGCAAGTGATGAATTTGTAACTGATCTAAATTGTTTGTTTGTTTCTCATTGCTGGGCTTACATTGTATATGCTTAAGGGTATTGTACCACAAATGCCAGATGGTACTAGGGACGAACTCGGAACTCGTTGAAAGGCGCTATATTTAATGCTTAAATTGGATGTTGAGTAGTTTAGCTGTTAGAAACGAGGCATGGAGTTTTTGTGATCTTTCTAAGTGAGTGAAATTCAGTGAAGTTTTAGATATTGATCATGATTTTTGTTATAGGTAGTGGCAAGTAGTAACTATTAGGTCTTATATAAATCTTGTGTTACTTTCTATTCTGATATGGGGCTGGGTGGTTGTATCACATTGTAGATTATTTTTCATTAACCTTGAGACAAAAATGGCAGCTGAAAACAGAAATATCTCTATATGCATCTAGGAGTTTCTTGTAATTTGAGGATGATAAGGATGTGGTGTGCAGAACACAGAGAACAACTCGATCATGTTATTCATTAGAAAGTTATGAGACGACTCTAAGCGTTTAGTGATAGTTTTGCTTAAGCTAGTTGTAGTTTGATTTCTATGTTTATAGCTTGTTTGTCATCTTGATCATTAGGTTCTTTGTCTATGAACTCGGAGACTGCTAGGCCTTCTTTGTATTCATTGCAACGAATTCAGGGAATATGTGAGAAATCCAGCTTTCGATAATGATATTCCATGGAGCTTTAGTTTCCTTTGGTGTTTAATATGGTGCCATTCTGGAACAGGAAGTAATTGGCTTAAGGGAAGTGGGGGTTGGTCACTTTAACTTCTTCTGCGAATTTGTTTTCCATAACACATTAGCACAATCAAATTACTTCACAACCATCAAGATTCTCCGTGGAAGGAATGACCCAATCAACAATTTAGTTTTTGTATCATCATTTTCTACAGATGATGAGTAATGGTAATGGGAAAGTGCTAGTTATTGACTAGAGAAATTAAAAGCAAATGTAGAAGTTAGGCCATGAAAGATGTCAATGCTTAGTTTCAAAAGAAACAAAGTATTGGAGAAAGAAGATTGTGAAGGAGCTAAGGAAACATAATGTGGATGTCAAATTCTTGGAGTAGACCTAGTAAGGGATTTTACATGGAAAAATGACTTTCCAGATGTAGCAGACATTAGTAAAACAAACAAAGCCTAAATCTACTTCATGGTGGCAAGGAATAGATTGTTCTAGTTTCTATAGTTTAGGGGACTATATCTCTATGTGCTCAAATAAGTTTTGGGGCAGACTTTTTTTTTTTTTTTTTGAGGCAAAAGAAACGGAACCTTCATTAAGTAGTGGACAAATTGTCCATTAGTACATACGGTGTTACATCACTAGGACAATGATTAATCCAAATTTGCTCATCACCGAAAGGCACCAATTTAGCTAAATGGTGCGCTACAAAGTTCCCGTTTCGCTTAACATGAGATCAATGAACGGAAGTGAAAAAAAAACAAACTTCTAAGACATCTTCTAGCAAAGAATCCAAATCGGACAGAAAAATAGCAGCTTTAGAGAGGCGAGATATGATGCTCATACAATCAGACTCAAGAATGATGTCCTTGTACCCATATCGATGAGCAAGGCGAGCAGCGAAGAGGATGGCTTTACCTTCAGCTATCTCTGGTGGCCATCTACACTTTGTTCTCCTGGTACCAGCGAAGAGAACCTCACCCTTATGGTTACGAGCAACAGCCCCAGCACCTACCCAACCTTCAACGCAAAGAGATGCATCGCAATTGATCTTGATGATGCCTTCAGGAGGGGCAGAGCAGATAGCAGGGCTCTTCTTCCTTGTGACTACTTTCGAGCCATATATGCGAGTGTTGTACTGGTCATAGTCTGAAACAAGTTGCTGCATTCTCGTTATAACTATGTTGTGAGGAGTCTCCTTGCCATTGAAAACTTTGTCATTTCTTCTAGCCCATATAAGCCTGAGTAATGCAGCCCCCCTTTGTTGCATCTTCACATCCTCTTCACACCATAACTCAAACTGATCCTTAAAATCAGAAGAAGCGCCAACCCCGACCAATTTCTCGCATTTAACCTCCACCCACAGGTCCTTGACAGCTGCACAGTTGAACAACGCGTGATGCATTGTTTCAACTTCATTTCTGCACCACGGGCACTTATCGTCATCTGTCATGTGTCTGAATTTTAGCAGGGCACGCACGGGGAGGGAGTTGGTGCATACCCTCCACAGCAGATGGCGCACTTTAGGTGTGGTTTCCAGCTTAGTTTTGGGGCAAACTTCTAAAACTTGTTTCAGTTTTCATTGATATACAGTGGTTTTTTATTTATTTATTTATTTATTTTTAATTTTAATTATATTTTTTTTATTCTTCTGTTTATTTATTGTGCTTTAAGTCCCGATCTATAGTATCAGTCATATGTTCCAAAGCTATTTCATTGAAAGCTATTGTCGCTTCTTTCTTGCCGTTGTAAAATCTCTACTTTATTACTATATAGGGACTGTACAAACTAAGGTTGTCATACCAAATCATCATGGTGAAAAGCTAGTGGGGATATTACATGATACAGGTTCCAAGGAGCTTGTAATTGTGTGCCATGGAATAAAGTCTATGAAGGTAAGTATTTGCTATCAGAAGTAAGACTGCCTATATTTTAAGTTGAACACCATTGCTATAGAATGCATAACCTATTTCCTAAACATTGCCATTAAAGCCTTTTGCCCTGCATTGCATTTTCTCCATCAATTTTAAGAGACCGCCTACTGGATGTTGTACAGCGGGACTTGTTCTTTTGATTGAGAAGC